TTAATTCCATTTCATGAAAAAAAATGAATGTAGAGTTTTTAAGTTGACATTAGTTTTTTATGCAAAGACCATACCAGTTTGAGGCTTGGAATCGTTTAAAATGGAGGAAAAGAGAAAACGGTTTGCTTTCATTAGCTAGAAGTCAAGCTAAACGTGAAAGTAACTTGGTAGTGTCGTCAAATCCAATGGTACGAATTCCTTGATATAAAGGAACGTCTTCAGCGCGATTATTCCCGTTGACTCCATTTCTTTTTGTCTTCTTCGTTCCACGTTCACGATAAATAGATTTTACAATCATAACCTCAATTTCGATGGATGATGTACTAATTAATTCATTTGAATTGTCAGTAAACATTACAAATATGACGTTCAGTCGGTGATGACCATGGCGTCGATGAAATACAGCGTTAGAGATAGGCATCCCATTGAAAAGCTTATTGTTATTTAAGTTGTTCAACTAAACGTGAGCAGAAAATGCAAATATAAGTGTTCACCAGCCGAAATAAGTGCACCTTTTACGCCAAATTTGTTTCACGGTTTTTAACAAGGTTTACTGACATTCACTTAAAATGGATCTACATTTAAAGCGTTTTCAAGTATTTTTTGTTTTAATTTATCATGTCATAAGGTCACCATTAAGTCTTTCAGCGGAGCCCAAATCTATAACAGGACAAATTCGTTCCTGTGTGAAACGTTCAAACATTTATATCATTTGAAGAATGAGACTAAGAAACGAAGCACTTCTTGAGGAACTGAGAACAATAATTTAAAAGTTTACAAACAGGATCAACAGCTGTTTCTTTTTTTTGCTCTTTTTAATCGTGTAAATCACCTCTGAACTGATCAAGTTCAAAATAATTTTCACATTTGTAAGAGAGAAGATTAGTCATCGAAGAGATACAAAAGAGTTTTCCAAATGCAAAAAACTCGAATATCACGCGTTAACTTTCACAGCTACTGCCGATGAATTGTTTATGGCTATTATTGCAGAAAGAATCTGCCTACTTATCATAACGTGTTTTATGTCCATTAAAAGGTGCCACCTGTTGTTTGTTTATTCCTACTGTATAAAGAGATAAGTTACGTTTTAATTAGTGCTGCACTTGAACAAGTCGCCAAAACCGAGCGCCAGTTGTGATAGAAGAACCCGAAAAATGGAAGTTATAAACAATTATGTAGGCCATGCAATCGTCTTCTCGGGCCTTTACGTGCGTAAACGTGAACGCAAGGGCGCTCTTGTGTATTTCGACCCGATTGGCAAGGCTTGCCAGTCGGGTCCACATCGTTTTAGCAAAACTGACTTAAAAACAGCGCATGCGCACTACCCTCGTAACAGCAGAGTTGTAATAAGAATGAGGATGGAGATTTACAACTCTGTAGCTGTGTTTTGTTGTGGGGTTTCCTTAATGTCTTGACTTCTTTGTATAACTGGCACAATGGGAGTGGAATTCATTCGTTAAAATAAACGTAAATCGAGATTCCATAATTCGAGATTTATAATGATGTTAACGGTGATAATCGTGTTTCAGACTTTTTGAGTGCAATCCAAGAGTTCAAGACATATTTCCCGCCTTTAAGAGTTTAAAACTTGAAGACGTAATCAACTCTCGGTCTTTGTATCTCCACGTCAGACGAGTCATGGCTGCGCTTGAAAATGCTTTGCTTTCTTTAAACGACGCAGAGGTCTTCATGGAGTATTTAAAGAACCTTGGAGAAAGACATAAACCATGGTCCGTGAGACTGGAACATTTCGATGTATGTATTCTATTGTGATGATCAAGGGCACAACATATTGTTGTATAGAGCTGTATAATAATGTAAACTGCGGTAGTGTGAAGCCTAGTGCTATCTAGCTAGGGGTACATATTGTTGTAAAGCGCTGTATGTGATGTAAACTGCTGTAGAGGGAAGCATACCTGTAGCTCAATTTAGGGGTACTTATTATTATACAAGGTTAGGCTTGTATAATAATAAGTACTAGGCTGTGATATAAATTGCAGTAGAGATAAGTACTATAGCAACTTGTCCTTTCTTAACTATTTTTTTGTCAAAACTCTTTTCCAGGGTCTTCGCTGCAACGGCATCCACGATGGCGGCTACCGACTCTGTTGGCCTGCCGCCATCTTGGATTTGCTATGTAGGTGGACCCTGGGCAAGAGTTTGACTCATTCCCAATTAGATGATAGAAGAAGCCTTAATTTGGACTCTGAAGGACTCGTTTCCAACAAAATGCACCGATTATATAGCCGAGACCTGGAGGGAGCTATTTCGCTTTATAACTGCAAATGTGATGAAAGGACTGAGGAGAACAAACACTGACTCGTGACACTTTCAAAGTGAGAGATTTTGTGCACTGGGAATCCGGTCAAAATGAAACCTGAAAGGACACTAGAGATGATGTTAAGTGCACAGTGTGTTAAGTGAATTGGAGTGTCTTAAAGAATCCTTAAGGTAGTCAAGGTGGACAGAATGATCTTGACAACAACTTCTCTCGGGAAGTAAGGAGGCATATGAATTGCAAGAAGCCTGACGTTGCACGAGGATTGAAACAATCAATCAATCGATCAATCAATCAAGTTTATTGTCTATACGTGAGGCATGGTTGCCCAATTGCCCGAGCCAGAGGCTCATGTATAAAACGTTCGACGGTAAAATCTATGAAGAAAAAATGCTATAAATATGTCGATAAAAATGTCAATTTAAATGTAAATTTAAGAAACGAGTGAAACAGAAACAGGCAAGGAGACGATCGCGTCTAATGAAGTGAGCAGAAGAATAAAGTTGAGGGCAGGTTAAATCAAGCTATGAATTCCCCATAAGATCTGTTGTCTCTGCATTTCACTTGTTGAGAATCCTTAGAAAGTAGAGATAGACAACAATAATCAACGCAGTGCTTGTACAGTATATATTTCTGTTATACAAAGAACTACAAAATGATTAAATATGGAACTAAAATAAATTGTCAGAGTCACTTAGTAAAACTAGAACTAAACAAAGACACTAAAATGAACCCATTAACCCAAGACTGATCAGAATTTAAATTCTCCTCACAGTAGTAATATACTGACAAACATATACAGTGTCAATGAGAATTAAAGAAAATATAAACTGGAAGGTCAACCTTCACTTAGACATGGGATGTAACAATTAATTCTCCGAATTAAGCAACAAAGAAACGTACTCGAATCAGTTAGGAGAATTTTTCTTCTTAACTTGGGAGTGAAAGAGTTAATTAGACTAAGGGAAATGAACGATTATCTTGAACTAGAAATCAAACTAACCACTAGCTACTTTACATCTAAATATACTCATTACATGTGATGTGGTCTGGCCTGTTCACTGGGAATTGGGGGAAGGAGGCATCTGTAAGAAATTTCGCCTTTGTTGATTGTAAACTGCCACTGGCAGTCTGGTAAAGTTCCCCGCACAGTGTTGTAAAGCGCCTTGAACTTAGGATAAGAGCGCTATAAAAATAAAAGTTCTTATTGTTATTATTATTATTATTACTATTATTATCATCATTATACAAAGAATATTTAGTTAAAACTGTTCAAGCTTGTTTTAAAAATCCTACGTTACATCATATTCAACAATGTGCAAGGTTTACTATTACCAGAACACAAATGGTAGTTAACAGATTCTGCTAAGTTAAGATTCATTTTAGAAAATCTCCTCTAAAATAGCTGGGATACAATATATCTTTAACTTTTGACTTCACAGCCAGTCCTAAATACATAAAATGTTCCAAATAGCGAAGATATTTTTAAATTATAGTAAGATACGTTCAAACTAAAGAAAAACATTAAACAGATTCTAACTGAAGTGGGGTTCATGTCTCAAACACATGGTTTCTTTACTCAAACCGTTTAAAATAAACACTTAAGGGTTTGAATGAAACAAACAACTCAAATTAACCACACCCCTTTGACTCTGAATGAGGTGGGGTTCATCTCTCAAACGCATCTTCAAAAATATGATGAGTTACTCTGGTCATGTTTGATGTTTGGTTCTTCAAATCATGCTTAGAATGGCAATCTTGGCACCAAATAGAATTAGGCGGAATTTAGGTGAATTGCATATGAAAAAAACTTTAGAAAAAATAACCCCTTATTTTTTTAAAGATAATATCAGTTTTTAAGAAAATGTCAATCATCATGTAGATAGATAAACCAGGAAATTTCGACCTACAGCTACCAATTCTGCTCATCAAAGATTCGCCAACTTTTGGTGATGATGAATATTTTATTTATGAACATCTGGTGATTAACCTTACTGTTGATATAAAATTCAGAAAAGAACTTATTGTAAAACAGAAACGGAGTTGAGTGTCATTTTAGTCTACAACTGAACCGCGTAGGCGTCATTCAACTACAGACATTCGTTATGGTAGCCGTGTTACATTTCATTCTCTTGGCACGCATTTAAATTTCGAAAGGCAGGCATTAAGAAGTTTCTACTGTTCAAGATATGATCAAGTAGTCTGTTTTTTATTTCTTCACCATAATGATCGATCATATTTAAAATACAAGTAAAATGGGTACAAGTTAATAGTCAAAACTTCCAAAAATTGAGAAACATATGGAAAACTTACGAGGCTCCTGTGACATACTGTGAATCTTCTCTTGAAGATAAAAAGAAATGAGTCAATTTTCAGTGATGCAATCTTAAATTATAATTTTTTTTCTTCCTTTACACTGAAGTCCAGAGTGACGTCGTCTCCGATCAGCGTGAAGGGTGCCCAGTGTTTGACGTCGCTGAACTTGTCTGATTCTCTGAGGCTTTTCATGGCCAGGTTCAGTGACTCGCTTGCGCGTTTACCTCCTGCGAGGTGATGATAGAAGCATTCCATGAACTCTAAGGTAGCCTTGTCATCAATGGCCCAAAGGGACACCACAACAGATCGAGCACCAGCCCCCATAAAGGCGCGCGCAATGCCGACCACACCTTCAGCTTTGATCTCGCCTTGAGCACTGTGGCAGGAACTGAGTACAACAAGTTTTGCGCGAAGTCGAGAATCTAACACTTCTCCGATTGTTAATATGAAATCCTCCTTTGTTAGCTCTGACGGTGCTTTCGTTGGGTCTGGAGTGAGAGCAATTTCACCAGTATCCATGCTTCCGTGAGCTGCAACGTGAACTAAAGCAACAGAACTGAGCCCTTTCAACACTTCACACTTTGTTGCCTGTCTACCAGTGAGCGGTGCGACATTCAAAATCTTTCCGATCATTTTTACTTCCTTTTTAGCACACGGAAGCTGCTCGAAAATTCTTTTCCCCTTTGAGTCAACCCATGGAATGTCGGTTACCCACGGATCTCCCACAAGTAGCGCACCACTGCTTTTGTGATAATCTTCAGGGGAATCGGCAATGAGTCTGAGACTTGTTAGCGATGGAGCGAGTCGGATTCTGAATGATTCACATAGGTATTTAGAATTATCATCCTTAAATGCAGCGTAGGGAGCCAGCCAGAGGGGTCCATCCGGAACAAGGAGGAGCTCATCCCCTTTAACCAGGTCAGCCACCGGCTTCATAATGATATCATACAAAGTGTTCAAGCATTTGTTATCTTCGACAGGAGGTTGAGGGGTGTTTTCCCCTCTTTTCTCAACTACTTCTGAACGGCATTCCCTCAAAGCATTCAAAGATCGATTCTCGCAACTCACATTTGAACGAACACCAAATTGTGTATAGATGCCGAGGACGAAGGACCCAAAGGACTGGCTAGCTCCACTGTTCTCCCCGGCTGACACCGAGCCTTTGAGTTTACTTCGTCTCAACTGAACTTGCTTTCCTTCGGACACAACCCAAAGATTGACGTCATCTCCGTCCACTGCCTGAAAGACAATGTTTGATGGAATGTTCTTTAAAACGAAATCTTCATCGAATCCCTTAGGCTGACTTGTTTCACAACAAAAACTGGATTCCATCAGGTCAGTCAAAGCTTGAGCTCGTCCTTTCTCAGCAGCAATCAAAGCTTCGTCTATCGTATCTTGTTTCACGAGAACTCTCCACAAACCCGTATACGCCATTTGATACTGATTTCGAAAATTAACTTTCCACTCATCTTTAGATTTTAGAAGTATCCTCAGAGCATTGAATAAGGTTATGCTGGTCTGGTAATGTTTAACGGCTTTTGGCAGTTGACCCAGCGATGTGAAAACACTTGCTAATGAATAGTAGGCCGATGCCTCCAAGGTTTTGTCTTCGACCTCTTTTGCAATTTTGAGCTGTAGGTTGTACGATTCTTTGGCCCTTGTAATGTCACCCAGAATAAAATAAGAATTGCCAAGATTTCCATAAGCTTGACCTTCCCCATGTTTGTCTTCTACTTCTCTAGCTATTTTAAGATACAGGTTGTGATACTCTACGCCTTTTTTTAAATCGCCCAGGCCTTGATAAGCATTGCCAAGATTGCAATAAGCACCATCCTCCCCAAATCTATCTCCTACTTCTTTTGCTATTTTAAGATCTAGGTTGTGATACTCTAAGGCTTTTTTGAAATTTCCCAGTTTTTTGTATGCATTGCCAAGATTGCCATAAGCTTTACCCTCCCCATTCTTGTCTCCTACTTCTTTATCCATTAAGAATCAGAGCTGATGAAGTGGTCGGGCCCAAACTTTTTTTATTAAACTTTCTTAGACTTTTTATTTGAGTATATGTCTTTCTTAGCTCGAAGTTGTCCGTCCTCGTGTACTACAATATTTTTCCTATTATTTATCGAGATTTGGACTGTGAATCCTTTTGGATCCTTCTGGCGCGGCGTCACTGTTGGCTCGAGGCCTTTTAACTTGTTATATATATATATATATATGCGCATGCTCGCTGGTTTACTCTAGTTTGAGCACTCTGGCATGGCTTAGACGATACCACAAAGGTTGGGTCGTTTGGGGTGACCGTCTCGGTTCTCCCCCATCCTAGCATTAGCACTGCACTGATGAGGCCCAGAAGGCCGAAACAGTACTGTCTGCAGTTAGTTATATATATATATATATATATATATATATATATATATATATGCNAACAACGAAACAAAGTTTCCGTGACTCGTAGTTTCATGCTTTCGCAATCATCAGACGGTGGTTATTCCAATGGAAGACATAGTTACCTTATATACAGAATGCTAATTATGCGGTGTGAAACTTAATTCCTATAATTAGGCGGTGTGGTGAAATTTGGTTCCTATAATTAGTGACACGTAATTCTACTGAAAGTGAATAAAAGCTAAGTTTTAAAGTTTGATAGGTAGAATTTGTTTTCGTGGTGGCATTTGGAAACTAGTTCAGATCTCGTGTTGAGTAAGGTATTTCTGTCAGCTTGGAGGATGCGGAATTTTTCTGCGAGGCACAGATTACATTTCTTAGTTTTGTTAGAGTAGACAGGAGCGTGGCAGAGAATAGACCAGTAAATCGAGTAGGTTGTTTGGTTGTTTTTCAGATGCCAGATGTGTTTTGATAGTTCGGTGGAGTTGGAGTACTTAGGGTCGCGGAAAGAAAGTGTGTGTTGGGTGTAGCGGCGTTTAAATGTACCTTCTGTGAGACCTATGTAATTTTTCCCATTGGGGTCGTTGTTCGTTGTGACGTTGGCTTTGTAGATCAGGCTTGTAGAGAGACTTATTATTTAGGGGGCAATTGGCTTTCGTCCTGCAGTTCCATCCATCTTTCTGGGTAGTTTGGGCGATTTCGAGAATGTTTTTGTTGTGACGGCTGATAACATATTCCATATTTTTCATGCAGCAGTAGCTTACTTTGACTGTGTTGTTGTTGAAAATTTTGGAGTAGCGGTGCGATTTCGGGAAGTGTTTTTGGATTAGGATAGGAATTTTCCTGGGATGTTGGTCTGGACGTTCTTACTGAGGGTAGGGTTGAACCATACTGTTTTCCGGTTTCTGTTCTTGCGGGCGTTAGCTGTGGGTGCTTCGTAGTCGCGGAATTCTAGTTTGGTGTGGTATCCACTTGCTTGTAGCGCAGACTCGTATAGAGGTTTGGCATTATCGAATACTTCTCTATTACATGAGGGTCTAAATGGGGGCGTTCGAATGTGAATTGTCAGTTAAATTTTCGGCCATTTATTAGTTGTCAGTCAAATTTTCTGCCATTTGTCAGTCGTCAGTTAAATGACTGTTAATGATTAACTTAGCAAGTTAATTATTAGTTTCCGACCCTCTAATTTTGGCTGAAAAGCACAAATAGCGTAAACTCGAAAATTAAGTCGAAAACTGATACAATAAGAAGTGCTTTTTCTTAGTTCTGGAATGAAATAAGATCTTTCAAATGACTCTCAGTCATTGTTTAAGTCAGTTACGACTCTTCTGAACACAAACATATACAGCGCTTATACAGCGCACATATAACGTAAACTTGAAAATTCAGTCGTTAAGCGTGATGTCTAGGAAATTGACTGTTGTTTTCAGGTTAGTTGGGATGGAGATGGTGAGGCCGTGCTGTTTAAAGAGAATAATGAATTTCTTCTTGCTTCGTTCAGCTTGAGGTCCTGGGGCGTTTTTTAGTAATGCGAGTCCGTCGTCTCTGTTCAGTCCTATGTCGCAGTTGTTAGAAGTCGAGCTCAGAGAGTTGAGGATGAACAGGCCGACGAGATCACATATATCAGCGCCCGGCCGTCGTAACTGCCCTTGGTTACGTCAAATAAGGAGTCATTATTCTTCTTTTGTCAGGGGGAGTCTTTGTCGAAGAGTAGTGATTTTCTGCAGTGCATGATGAATTCGGTATCTTGAGGCGTTATGTTGTGGTTGGTTTTGGGGAAGTTGATAGCATCTAGTAGGAGGGTTTCAGATATGAACGGGTAGAATATGTCGATGTCGAATATAATGAAGGAGTGCTTGTTTTTGTTGGGGATGTGTTTGAACCAGTTGATGACTTTTGAAGAATTTTTCCATCGATTGAGATGTTTTACTTCGGATGTTGTTGTTAATCTTGTCTAGGATAGACTTGCTGATGTGGCCTAAGTCACTTTTAGCGGGGTTAATTGGCCGGCATGTTAGTTTATTAGCAAAGTTGTCTTTGTGGTCCTTTAACAAGATGAAGGCCTGTTTCGTAGCGATGCGTTCAGTGCGGCCTGCGAGATTAAGGTCGGTGGATATGTGTTTTGCTTCTTCGTTGATTAAATCAGCTGTATTGATATTCGATTTTCTGTAGGAAGTGGTGATGCTGTTGTGAAGTAGTTTGTCGTGTTGCGTTTTGGAAAGTTCGTAGTAGTTGGTGGTCTTGTCAGCTGGAATGAATGCATTACGGATGACTTGTTGATCTTCATTACATCGCGGTTTAATTGGTCTAGAAACTCATCTTGTACTTTTATGAATTTTATGAACTTCAAAGAATCAAAAAGGTCGGATTCAAACTTGCTTAGATCGTCATTCGGAGGCGGGCATTTTCTAGACTTGAAGCCGAGATTTTCGTTTTTCATGGTGACGAGGTCTTGCGGGTTGTCAAAAAACTTGTAGGCTTTCCATCGCATGCGCTTGACGACGCTTTCCGTTTGGTCGATCAGGCATGTCAGGTACTTGTTTCGTGGAGGTATCGGTATGTTTTTCATGGAATATCCAAATCTAACTTGTTTCATCTTGAAGAGAGTCAGCTGCGGCGATACTGCTCTACTAAACGGGGTCAGGAGCGTGATTATCTGGAAGAGATGCTTTAGCTGGCTGTATACTGCTCAATACATAAAGTAGAGCGTAAATAAGCGAAAGCGAAATGCCCCCTAAATGATAAATGTTTCTCTACAAGACTGATCTACAAAGCCAACGTCACAACGAACAACGACCCCAATGGAAAAAACTACATAGGTCTCACAGAAGTTATATTTAAACGCCGCTACACCCAACACACGCTTTCTTTCCGCGACTCTAAGTACTCCAACTCCACCGAACTATCAAAACACATCTGGCATCTGAAAAACAGCCAAACAACCTACTCGATTCAATGGTATATGTAGCGGCCGACACAAGCGAAGCAAAATTTCGACGACAACTACGAGTTTCGCAAATGAAGACACACTATGAAGCGAGGATATATTTTACGGACAAGCCTTGAATCGTTTTATTTAACGTAGTCGTGGTATCCAAGTACTTATCGTAAACTGAAATATGAATTTATAAGGAAGAAGCTAAGCTAAATGCGAATAGACAAACCAACATTCCAAACATTCCGATATAAAGGCAAGATGCAAAGCTAGCTAAAAACTCACGCAAACTCACAAAAAAACTATATATAAGCTCAAGGAAGGGAACATTAGCACTTACATAACAGTCCCGCTTTTAAGAATTGAACCAAAACGAACTTCAATATAAGTTAGGTATTCGGAAGCGAAACGGGAAATCCAAACCGACACTTACTCTAACAAAGAAAACTGTAGTCTTACGGCAGACGACAACAACCAAACGATAAACAAAAAAAAACTTCAACTACTCTTCTCTAAAAATCGCACACGTCAACATTAAAAAAGGGTCCGCGTGATTTGCTTACGAGATTGCTTCGTAACCTCAAAGCACGCGCACGCGAGTCGCGCGCGCACAAGTTTGTTAACGTCTTCTTAACAGCAGGCAGAAAGAGTGGCAGCCGTTACAGTATATTCTCCGCCACGCTCCTGCCTACTCTAACAAAACTAAGAAATGTAATCTGTGCCTCGCAGAAAAAGTCCGCATCCTCCAAGCCGACAAAAATACTTTACTCAACACGAGATCTGAACTAGTTTCCAAATGCCACCACGAAAACAAATTCTACCTATCAAACTTTAAAACTTAGCTTAATTTTATTCACTTTCAGTAGAATTACGTGTCACTAATTGTAGGAACTAGTTTTCACGCCGCCTAATTATAGGAATTAAGTTTCACACCGCATAATTAGCATTCTGTATATAAGGTATGTCTTCCATTGGAATAACCACCGTCTGATGATTGCGAAAGCATGAAACTACGAGTCAAGGAAACTTTGTTTCGTTGTTGAATTTACTATTTCTATATATATATACTATCACCTTTTTAAAAATACCACTACAGCCCTTCAAAAGAGAAAACAAATGTATATCAAAGCTCTCGATCATCATCTTACCAAGTTTAAAATGTGCAGTTGCCCTGTTGTTGTACAGTTTAGCCTTCAGTTCTTTCTCATTACAATTCACTTCAATTCCTTCTGTGTAAAAGTGAATGGCATTGAGGAAATCTCCTTTCTTGAAGGCCTCATTACCTTGATTCCTATAAACATCAGCTCTGGCTGCAAAGAAAAAATAAGAAATAGTTTGTGTCAAAGTCTGTGGATAGTTTATTTATTAAGTGTAAAAGCAGAGTGGCCAAGATCTGTGGATTAGAAATCTGGAGATTTTTTTCTTTTGTGCTGGCTACCACCTTTACACCTGCCTGGTTGAACCCATTCCCCCTTGACAATATCTCAGATCATGATTGCCGCCTCCCCCCTCCCCCTTCCCCCCTCCACAGGGCAAACCGAACTCATTTAATTAATAGACTGAGACTCTTTTTGGCTGAAACCTCAATGAGACTCAGTTGTTGTTGTGTTTGTTGTTAAGAAGAAAGTGTATTCGCTACTTTGAAACAGACTAAGCGCAAAAAGCGAAAAAATTTAGATAAGAACCCTATGATTAACAAAAAAGCCATTCCCCCTTGACAATACAAAAACAAAAATACAAAAACAAAAACCCTATGATTAACAAAAAGCCATTCCCCCCCTTGACAATATCTCAGATCATGATTGCCCCCTC